CGTTGCCCAAATATGATTTTGGGGGGGGGGTGTTCCCTCATACACCCACGCTGCATCCTTTGCGTTTTACGCGTTGACAGTTATTGTTTCTCTCATAAGGCGGGCTGGGGGGCTGAGGTAAGCACGCCATTCCTGTTCATAGCTGTCAACCGTCCCTTATTTGGCGGGAAACTCCCTTATCCCAGCGCCGTATCCCACTGCTGTCCCTTATTGATGATGTCCCTTATATTTCCCGGGTTTCAAAGGAAGCAGCTCATCTCCCTCCCTCCCTGCCAGCCAGGGAGGAGGGAGGCTCCAACTGTGTTGCTTGGCTGTGTTGCTCACCCAGTAAGGAGTCTAAGAATGACTGGGGGGTGGAGCTTGCATGCCTTGTGCCAATCAAATCAACCACGTTGCCTGGGGACTCGCCTTTGCTCAGCGCTTCCCAGCGGAGAGGTGACGGTGGGAACCACTGCTTGAGGCTTCGTTTGGCTGCTGGCTGGGCTTTCTGCCTTTGGCTCAGAGGGGCTCAGAAGCTGAACATACCTGTGCCCAGAAAATCCCTTATTTTGGCTGCTGATCCCTTATTTTCGAGGCTGCTGGTCCCTTATTTTCAAATCTGTAAGTTGACAGCTATGTTCCTGTCAGCCCTGGAGAACGTGTGCGCATGCGTGGGGGAAGGGAAAAGCCGTTAGCCACGCTAAGTCAGGCCGGCACCGCTCAAGCAAAAACGTTCTTTTCCCTGTGTGAAGGAAGACGAGGCGGCAGCGGCTATTTACCATTCCATGGTTCACACCGTGTAGCTAACAAGCGGCCTCCCCAGCAGAGCGCAGAATGGCTTCAGAGTGCAACCGCCCAGGCGCTCCCCGCTTCCTCTGGCGGGGAGCACCGCCGCCACAGACACCTGCGGGTGTCGCTCCCAAGGCGCCGCTGAGCCCCTGCCCCACAACTGCCCTTCCTGAGGTCAGTTGCCAGCAGTTCCATGGTGGAAATCTGAACTGTGACTCCTTTTCCTTTTTCCCCACCCTGAAAGAAAAGATTGCTGCGCATGCATGATGGATGAATAAGGGGCTTGTCTCGAGCAGCCGCCTGCCTCACTTTTGACCCCCAAGCCTGGCTGAGTCGCAAAAACCATCACCGCATGCGCTACGGCCACTGCCTGGATTCCCAGACCGTCTGCGGGCTGGATCTAGAAGGCAATTGGGCCTGATCCGGCCTGCAGGCCTTAGTTTGCCGACCCATGCTGCATACTAAGATGGGTGTGAGCTGCGGCGTGTGTGTGTGTGTGTGTGTGTGTGTGTATGCATCTGTGGCTTCCTCTATTACTCTTTTAAAAAATCCTCACTCCAAATAAAATATTTTTTGCCTCTTTCAAGATGCCTCTTGTGTGAATCTTGACTGTAACACTCCTCTGTGTTGGTGTTGTCAAAATCCCAATTCTAAGGAATTTCTCCCACTCTACGTGGGCTTCTAAATGTCATGGAACATGACTCTAAGCAGGAAAGCATGTCCCGCATGCACATACTGTACAAAGAGAATCATAGAATCGTAGAACTGTAGAGTTGGAAGGGACACTGAGGATCATCTAGTCCAATCCCCTGCAATGCAGGAATAGGCAGCTGTCCCGTTCAGGGATCGAACCTGCAACCTTGGCGTTATCAGCACAGGTCTTTTACAGCGATGCATGCTTTGCTTGCAAATTATAATCACATACCACTGCTTTTTAATTTTCCTTTTCAAAATGCCCTGCCCTACAAACCATGTTTTTTAAAATATCATTTGCATTTTGCAAATGCCATAGGAGTTTGCACAGCATGGTTATTGCAGTCCTATCCATGTCTAAGGTAAAGGTAAAGGTACCCCTGCCCGTAAGGGCCAGTCTTGACAGACTCTAGGGTTGTGCGCCCATCTCACTCAAGAGGCCGGGGGCCAGCGCTGTCCGGAGACACTTCCGGGTCACGTGGCCAGCGTGACATCGCTGCTCTGGCAAGCCAGAGCCGCACACGGAAACGCCGTTTACCTTCCCGCTGGTAAGCGGTCCCTATTTATCTACTTGCACCTGGGGGTGCTTTCGAACTGCTAGGTTGGCAGGCGCTGGGACCGAGCAACGGGAGCGCACCCCGCCGCGGGGATTCAAACCGCCGACCTTTCGATAGGCAAGCCCTAGGCGCTGAGGCTTTTACCCACAGCGCCACCCGCGTCCCCTACTCAGATGTAAATTCTACTAAATTCAATGGGGCTTACTTCCAAGAAAGTGGGGACAGGATCGCAGCCTAAATATTTGAGAACCTGAGGAGTTTCCACTTGGCTCCCATCCCTGCTACCCAGGGAGTTGCAAAAGATGATAAACCTCAAAGACCTTGAAATCTCCAAGAGTTGCAGTTGTTAGGATATTTAATATGCACCAGGGGGCCTTTTCTAAGTCAGGAAAAGGCATTTCACATTCTGGCACCTTCCTTCTTTTGCATTATTTTCAGCGTAGGCATGGGTCATTATCAGGAAGCAACTCCCCCAGTTTACAGCTGGCAACACCACCTGTGCCAATCTGATTCCAGCCAAGATAACCAGCCGATCATGCCCAGAAGGAGACAAGGAAAATGGACTTTGACTACAATCCTATGCTAGGGTTGCCATATGCCTGGGAAAATCAGGGCGTATGGCAACCCATGTCAGAAGTCTGTATTTTGCCAAATCTCCTTTAAAATAGCTCAAAAAAAACCCCTATCCTATGTAGACTTAGCTGGGAGTAAGTCCCATTGAACTCTATGGGGCTGACTTCTCAGTAAAGATATCTAAGACTGCCCTGTTACTTGCTTGCATGTTTTCCTGGAATTTTATTTCTTTTCCAAAGTGGCATTTTGACTAGTTTTGCAAAGCAGTTTGCCAATAAATTTCAGAGCTTATAAAGGAGAACTAGCTTGCCTACCCACCTGTTTTATAACACTGTTCCGTGTTAGTAAATGGCTGTGCGAACCAGATTGCCTGGGTAAATAAATGATTATCTAAACCTAGAAGACTGAAATACACAGCGAAGAACTGGGAGATAAATGTGGTGAATTGCCGCCAGAGTAAAATGAAGACATGAACAGAAAGGAGGAATGCTTGCTCATATCCAAATGCACATTCAAACTTCTTGAATGGTACTTGTATTCCCATGTTAAACTATGTATATGTTCCATTCATTATGAATAGTGTATGCAATCTTCTCCTTTTTCCAATATGTTATACTTGAAATCTATCATCTACAGCAAATAGAGCTTTTTGACTCGCATACCCTTCAACAGGGACGGGGGTGGCGCTGTGCTCTAAACCACTGAGCCTTGGGCTTGCCGATCAGAAGGTTGGCGGTTCAAATCCCCACGATGGGGTGGGTTCCCGTTGTTCGGTCCCTGCTCCTGCCCACCTAGCAGTTCGAAAGCATGTCAAAGTGCAAGTAGATAAATAGGTACCACTCAGAAAGGAAGGTAAACGGCATTTCTGTGCACTGCTCTGGTTTGCCAGAAACGGCTTAGTCATGCTGGCCACATGACCCGGAAGCTGTCTGCAGACAAACGCCGGCTCCCTCAGCCAGTAAAGCGAGATGAACACCGCAACCCCAAAGTCGTACACGACTGGACCTAACGGTCAGGGGTCCCTTTACCATTATTATTATTATTATTATTATTATTATTATTATTATTACTACTACTACTATTACTATTATTATTATAATTTGCTGCCCATCCAATTGGGTTGCCCCAGCCACTCTGGGCAGCTTCCAACATATATAAAAACATAATAAAACATTAAACATTTTAAAAAACTTACCTGTACAGGGCTGCCTTCGGAAGTCTTCTAAAGGTTGTATTGTTACTTATCTCCTTGGCTCGGGAGTCACATAGCTCTATAACCCTCCAACATTTCTCTGCTGAAAATAGGGACATCCTAAGGAAAAGCCAGGCATTCCAGGATCAAATCAGAAACTGGGATGGCTTCTGTAAATCTGGAACTGTCCCTGGAAAATAGGGATACTTGGGAGTGTCTGTGAAAAGTCTTTTAGGTGGGTGGCCTCTCGAAATTCTCAACCTGGAAATGGCACGGCAAATTTGGAGAAGCCATTTTGGCTCAGCACTAGGAAGTCCTGTTGGGCTAGACAGTCCTGGGATTGTGCTGGAAATCAGGTTTGGATTCCAAGGCGGCACACACACCATAAAGTACATTTAAAGCAAATGACTGGCCTCAAAGGATCCTGGGGGCCATAGTTTGTTAAAGATGCTGAGAATTACAGCTCTGTAAGTTGCCGATTGGAAGGTCAGCGGTTCGGATCCCGCGACGGGGTGAGCTCCTGTTGCTCGGTCCCTGCTCCTGCCAACCTAGCAGTTCGAAAGCACGTCAAAGTGCAAGTAGATAAATAGGTACCGCTCTGGCAGGAATGTAAACGGCGTTTCCATGCGCTGCTCTGGTTCGCCAGAAGCGGTTTAGTCATGTTGGCCAAAGGCCCCGAAGCTGTACACCGGCTCCCTCAGCCAATAAAGCGAGATGAGCGCCGCAACCCCAGAGTCGGCCACGACTGGACCTAATGGTCAGGGGTCCCTTTACCCTTTACCTTAAGGGGTAAACTACAGTTTCCAGAATTCTTTGCGGGAAGCCCTGTGCTTTCAGCGTATTGTGCATATGCAGCCTATAACCCATTGGTAGAAACTGTTGCGCAAGTGCTAGTGGAAGATCATGGGAGAAAGTATCTGCAACTTGCATCGCTGTGTGCCTGCCGCAACAAGCCCACAAATCATCCGCTGGAAAACAAGCTCATTGCAAAGGAATCCTTCATGTCTGGGGGTGCAAACCGTTCCCGATAGGAAGGTGCTTGCAGCAGCGACTGCCAAACCCCAAGCACAACGCGTGCCTTCCATTCTTTCGGAGAGCTGCTTTTAGTGTATTTTTGGTCTCTGTGGAAGCCGCCCAGAGTGGCTGGGGAAACCCAGCCAGATGGGCGGGGTACAAATAATAAATTCTTATTATTCTTCTTCTTATTATTATTCCAGCCATTGGACCTTGCTCTGCAAGAGGGAACCACACGATGCGCGCCAGCCATAGGACTTGCTTTGACAACTATAAGGGAATGAAACAGTTAAAGGTATAAACTTGGATCTCAAGAGCCTCTGCACAAGTAGAAAGAGGCTTCTTGCATCGCAGAGGGTTGGACTGGATGACCCTCATCTCCCTTCTAACTCTACAAGTTGATGGTTCTCTTATTCTTTGATCACCAGTTTTTGCCACTCCCTGTTTCCAACTGCAATGAAGTTGGGGTTGTTGGCAGGGATGCCACCAAGAGGGGCAACACTTTGGGGATAGAACAAGGGCACGGGCCAGCTCCCTTGTGCTAAAATTATGGTTTTAATGGGGGTGGAGTTTTAACTTGGGTAAGGGACACGGGTGGCGCTGTGGTCAAAACCACTGAGCCTCTTGGGCTTGCTGATCAGAAGGTCAGCGGTTCGAATCCTCAAAATGGAGTGAGTTCCCGTTGCTCTGTCCCAGCTCCTGCCAACCTAGGAGTTCGAAAGCATGCCAGTGCAAGTAGATAAAATAGGTACTGCTGCAGCGGGAAGGTAAACAGCATTTCCATGCGCTCTGGTTTCTTTCACAGTGTCCCGTTGCACCATAAGCGGTTTAGTCACGCTGGCCACATGACCCAGAAAGCTGTTTGTGGACAAACGCCAGCTCCCTTGGCCTGAAAGCGAGATGAGCGCCACAACCCCATAGTCGCCTTTGATGGGACTTAACTGCCCAGAGGTCCTTTACCTTTTTCTTTTCTTTTTTTTACCTTTTTAACTTGGGTGGCTGTTATTTGTTTGGGGAGGGTTGTTTTTTAAACTGTTCATAAGTGTTATGTGTTAATTTGTATTTTGTATTTTTTGGTTTTATACGACTGATTAATATTCTACAGACTTTCAAATGTGTTTGTGGGAAGGGAAGGTTGTTCTGTGTTTTGTTTTGTTTTAACTATTTACTTGTGTTTTTAGCTTGTATTTTTATCCAGTGAACTGTGCTGAGATCTTGTGAAAAGGGTGGAAGAAGAAGAAGAAGAAGAAGAAGAAGAAGAAGAAGAAGAAGAAGAAGAAGAAGAAGAAGGAGAAGTGCTTTTTTCTAAAAGAATGTTTAGGAGTACTCTTATTTTGACTCAAGAAAATCACTATTTTGTAGTTCAAATTGGGGAAAATAGATACAGTAAATGGACAAAAGTACAAAGATTCACAAAATGTTTAGGAGTATGCGTACCTCTGTATATCCTCAGAAAAAAGCACTGATGATGATGATGATGATGAAATGTTTTCTCCACCCCCCCCCAATGCCCACCCTCCCCTACCCTCAGGAGCTGGGAGCTAATACACCCCAGGTTATGGAATCCAGAGAAAAATTAGCAACCTATTCCATGCAAACAGTTATGCAAAGGGCAGGAGCAAATGGAAGAACTCTGGATTTCTGTTGATGGTTTTCCACAACACTCCGAAAGTCCGAAACAGCCCTTATATGAGTAGATGAGGCTTTCTATTTCTAGAAGAGCACTTTTGGACCGAAGCCAGAATGTCTGTCTGTTCAAAACCAGCTAAGTATACGAAGAAAGGGAGAGGAGGTGTGAAAAGCATTGGTGTCACTGTTAGATTGCGATTGTCTAAGGGCAAATATATATGTTATAATTAGGGGAGATTGTGGGAAGATTATTATTTTTATAAGTTATTGAAATCCCAAATGTCAGCAAAGGAAAAGGTGAAAAATGGCAAATTAACATCCCCCCAAGGAACTGGAACCCTTAAATACCAGAAATGGCTGTTTCTGGGTACCATTTCCAATTGAGTCAATGACACTCCTACAGTGCCATGTTTCAAATGGTGATACTTTGAATTTTGATGATTATTCCCCACTCTTTCCTCAAAACTGCAATTGTGCTCCTCTAGAAAGAGGACCTTGCCGACAAAGGTCCGTATAGTTAAAGCTATGGTTTTCCCAGTAGTGAGAAGTGAGAGCTGGACATAAAGAAGGCTGATCGCCAAAGAATTGATTCTTTTGAATTATGGTGCTGGAGGAGACTCTTGAGAGTCCTATGGACTGCAAGAAGATCAAACCTATCCATTCTGAAGGAAATCAGCCCTGAGTGCTCACTGGAAGGACAGATCGTGAAGCTGAGGCTCTAGTACTTTGGCCACCTCATGAGAAGAGAAGACTCCCTCGAAAAGACCCTGATGTTGGGAAAGATTGAGGGCGCAAGGAGAAGGGGACGACAGAGGACGAGATGGTTGGACAGTGTTCTCGAAGCTACTAACATGAGTTTGACCAAACTGCAGGAGGCAGTGGGAGACAGGAGTGCCTGGCGTGCTCTGGTCCATGGGGTCACGACTAAACAACTAAACAACAAGAAAGAGGTAGAATATATACCGTATTTTTCCGTGTATAAGACATGGGTTGTTTTTTTACCAAAAAATTAGGTTTAAAATTGGGACTCATCTTATACAAGGGTAGTGCTGAGGGATGTTTTCTTAATTTGGAGTCCCAAAAATAGGGGGCGTCTTATACATGGGTGTCTTATAGACGGAAAAATACAGTAACTTTGGTTTTGACCATAAGTATTAAACTAGGAATCCACAAAAGTACTGAATGGGGATTTTTTTGGGGGGGGGGGGGTGGCTTGTCTGTTAATATATGGAAGTGTTTTGTATTCTGTCATTCCTCTACATGTTTGACAGTGTTAGATTCAATGAAAACTTTATTATTATCATGCAAAATTATTTCCCCCCAGGTCTGTGAGATGAATCGTTTCCTCATATTGATATACAGATTAAATAAATCTAAACTGACCGAGGACAGGTTGCCCTCTGTAGATTCATACACCAATAATAAGAGGATAATAATAAGAGGACTAGCAAGTCCTTCTGTGGCCAAATGGGCCTTTTCAGCAAATTTGTGGCAACAGGAACAAAGGTTACCCAATAAAACAGCTTTGAGGTTATGCTGGGTGGGCAAAATGATATAGCTGGGGCATTAGAGACCTTGACTAAACACGACTGCTTTACTCCTTCTCACAAAGTACCTCTCCTCCTCCTCCTCCTCCTCCTCCTCCTCCTCCTTCTTCTTCCTCCTCCTCCTCCTCCTCCTTAGTTTCCACCCCACCATTTGCTATTCAGAAAATGAAAATAACTAGTCAAATACTTTCAAGTAGGGTTATTGTTTGGATAGCACTATTCTAACACTACGTCCGTTTTTTAATGTAAGTAATGTATTGCTCATGGCCTTGTGAAAATCGTAACTGTAATTTTGCCGGTGAATCTTTTGTGTCTGGGTAGGATTGGAATTCTAGTCGATAACTCTTTGGTTTCTTTCCCCCCAGTAACGATCAAATGTTGGTGGTGAATCGACATGCGTTTTCAAAGTTGGCCAAGTAAAACTCAATAAAAACACGGCGTGTGTCCTAACGTATATGGATTTATTCAGATTTCATTCTTTGAGGTACAATAAGATGAAAACATGACAACTCTTTATATTGACGGAAGCTAAGCCTTAAAAACCCCATCTGAAGTCTTGCATTTATTTATTTTTACAAGTTTTAATAGGTTTGTAAAGCTTATCTTTTCTCATGTTAGATGAAAGTTTGTTATGTTAATATGTCTAAACACCAGGAAGAACTTTCTGATTCTCACAAGAGGTGGCAGACTCTCCTTCCTTGGATGCTTTTAAGCAGAAGTTGGTCATCTGTCATGTATGATCTAGTTGAGATTCCTCCATTGCAGGGGGTTAGACTAGATGACCCTTGGGTCCCTTCCAAATCTATGATTCTATGAAGAGACATTGAACTATTATTCAAATGAATAATGGGCAACTTTAGGCCCTCCAGACATTGGACGACAAACTCCCATCATTCCTGACCATTGGCCATGCTAGCTGAAGCTGATGGAAAGGAGTCCAGCAACATCCTTCTTCTAACCGCCAGTGCTAGTTCTTAAAGATAAAACTGGATAAACCTGAATATTTCTAGGGCATCAGATATAGCCTTCGCTGGAGGCTGGGTGGCAGGCCGGATGGATTAAAGGGATTTCATTGCTGCTGTTGACATTAACAGGGAAAACATAAGCAGGCAGTATTTGTGATTATTTAAATGAGGAAGAAATATACCATTGAACAGATTGTTCTGTAATCCTGGCGGGTTCACCAGCAGGTAATAGACAGCCAGTGTGGTCCACAGTGCTGTGTTGGATTGGAGAGGCTTGTGTTCAAATTCTCCTTTCAGCAATAAAGCTTCCAGGGTGGTTTCTGGGTCCGGTGTCCTCTTTCCTGGCCCAGCAAACCTCACAGAGTTGTTGAGAAGATGAAATCAGACATGTTTCTTTTTCACTGCCTTCAGCTCTTTCAAGGAAAGGCGGAGTTCAAGTGTAGCAAATAATTGTTGGGAGCAAAATAGACCGTCACGTTATCACCTGCACGCTGGAATTGATTTGCTTTTTGCTATGTTATAAGAATTTTAATGTCTTATATATATATAAAGACAAATATATAAATGTTCATAAATGTACCAAGCAAGCAAATACATATATGTATAGACCACACGTCTGAGACCCACAGAAAAGGTCTTGAGACCATTTGTCTCTTCCAAATTGACCTCAAATATTCGGTGGCGCTGTGGGTTAAACCATCATAGAGCCTAGGACTTGCCAATCAGAAGGTTGGCTGTTCGAATCCCCGCGATGGGGTGAGCTCCCGTTGCTCAGTCCCAGCTCCTGCCAACCTAGCAGTTCGAAAGCACGTCAAAGTGCAAGTAGATAAATAGGTACCGCTCCAGCGGGAAGGTAAATGGCGTTTCCGTGCGCTGCTCTGGTTCGCCAGAACTGGCTTAGTCATGCTGGCCACATGACCCGGAAGCTGTACGCCAGCTCCCTCGGCCAATAAAGCGAGATGAGCGCTGCAACCCCAGAGTTGTGCACGACTGGACCTAATGGTCAGGGGTCCCTTTACCTTTATTCCTCTGCAAGGTCGAAGGAAATGGGAAGCCTCCCCATTGTTTCTTTGCTCACAAATCCTGCCTCATGGGCACATTTAAGGTATGAATAGGGTGAGCCTGTGACCTGGATTCAGGAACTGAGTAGTTATCATAACAAAAGAGTGGCCAGGATGCCCAGGTAATCCAATCAGGTAACCGGGCAGACAGGATAAAAACAACGCACTCAGATTTCTGTTGTAGTCCGCCCCTTCTCTGAAGTAAGTATGATGTTTCTGGGGGTGCTCTTGGGCTCCAGGGTGGGCGGTTCAAAAGTCTATATAAGGGCAGGCACACCTTTGTTCTGGGTCTTCCTCCTTCCTGCGTGTGAGGGGAGCACCCTGTTGCAACAGCTTTAATGAAGATCAGGCTTACTAGCTGCTTTGCGTCTCAATACAGTGGTACCTCGGGTTACATTCGCTTCAAGTTACATACGCTTCAGGTTACATACTCCGCTAACCCAGAAATAGTGCTCCAGGTTAAGAACTTTGCTTCAGGATGAGAACAGAAATCGTGCTCCGGTGGCGCGGCAGCAGCAGGAGGCCCCATTAGCTAAAGTGGTGCTTCAGGTTAAGAGCAGTTTCAGGTTAAGAACGGACTTCCAGAACGAATTAAGTACTTAACTCGAGGTACCACTGTATTCTCTGGTTGGCCTCTGTTATTTTCTCCTACTGATGGAAAACCTACATAGGACTCTATAAGGGCTCTTGTGTACCCCATAAGAGAAAGGGAGCAGTTTTTGTTGACAACAGCTATGTGGGAGGAATCCAAAGTATACTTTTATGGAGTGATTTCTGACATTTATATTGAGGTAGGAGGACTTTTTATGTGTGTCTGAGTGCCGTGTTTCTTTCCATACCTTCCGGAATGCCCCTATTTCCCTTGCCAGACCAGCGCTGCCGAGCTCAGGAAAGAGGATGAACCGGCGCTTGTCCCGAGTTACGACTGTGGCGGTGGTTGCGGCATCTCTATGGCCGCCAGCGGTGGCGGCCTCCTCCTTTGTACCGAACAACAAACCCCTGTGTTGCAAACTTAACACAACAAACAATAAAAGCAACACGCAGACCAGTATTCTAGATAGCACTGTAATTCTTATT